AACCTATGAATTATTTATTATGATAAATAATTAATAATAATAATTAAAATAATAATTAAAAACATTTTAAATAATAATAATACATTTTATATTATTTTCTACAAATATTTTGATTAAGTTAAAGTAATAAACTATTTCTTTACAAGTTATAAATGTAAAAATTATCTAATATTTTTAAAAGACTTACTGACCTTGACACACAGTTTTGGAGGGTTCACATATATATAATATCATTTTCTGTTTTCTGTTTTTTTTTCTTTCTGCAGTTTTTAACTACACTTTTATTTGGAGGACAGCTTTCTTTCAAATATTATTCTTTATTTTTCTAAATATATTTTTTTATATATATATTTTAAATTATATATGAATACAAGTTTACAAAAAACATATTATTACATATTAAGTATTTTAATTAACTTTTCGAACTATATATTTTAAATAATATTATTAATAAAAAAACTGCTTCACTGATTATTATTTATTATTATGTTTAATAAAATGTCTCCAACCTTATCAAAACATAAACTTGTAAACTATTTTGTTTAGTTTACAAAAGGCTTCCAGCAGTTTCTGTTCATTACACTTTAATTTGGAGGACATTTTTCAAATATTATTATTTATATTTGTAAATATATGTATTTCTTTAAATGTATAAATATATATTTTTAAATATTATTATTAATAAAAACTAAAATTCTCCAATCTGTTTTTTGTTTTTGAATTGTCATTATATTTGTGTTTATATTTGTATAAGTGTCATTTCTCATAAATTAAATTGTTTTGTTAAGAATCCACATTGTAAAGGGTTATGTTTCTTTTTTGAGCTCTTCGAGTCTCTATATCAAGTGTTTTCATCTTCAGTTCAGAACAATGAAAACAAACAGGCCATCACTCCTTCCAGACAGATAAATTGCCTGAAGTCTTTTAAAATCCCTATTTAATGTGAAAGCATCTCCTGTTTGGATACGCACACACATATAAAAGCATCCAAAAAGCAGCATGTCATGGGACCTTTAAAGTGCACAAAAACATAATCAGTCCAAACACGTGTGAGCGAACCAGACAATCAGGGGTTATAAATACAGGTTGAGTTGATGGTGTGGATGTTGAGGGCAATGCAAGCGTACAGACTGAACCTGTCCAGTTGGAGCCGAGGTAGGAGACGGGTCGGGCCGGGGGGAAGGAGAACAAAGGACACGCTCACAACAATCACACCCGCAGGAACAGGAAGGCCCCTCGGGAGCTCGCGGATGGCAATCTGACCTGGGCAGTGTTTCCGACGGCTAAACCCAGCAAGAGCTGACCTGCCTCCAAAGCGTTTGGTTGGTTTCCCACAGCCTGGTCATGGCAGAAATGCACTGTCTCTTTGGTTTTTGACTGGGGTGAGAGGAACGGAAGGGCTGGTTCTTACTGAAGGATGGGATTTGCGTAATTTAAGGAAACTGGGTGACATTACGTGCAGAAGTGTGCATGGAAGAGTATGACTGGTAAACCACAGCGGCCACATCGCCTAATGAAAAATTTGAAAAAAAAAAAATTTATTTGCACTTCAGGGTTTTTTTTTCTTGGTTTCTGGAAATCAAGCTGATTGCATTGTGGGAGTTTAGTGGGATTTTAGCATAGTGTTATTTTAGTATAACTGAGATACTGTTATAAGTTTATTTGATCATTATTTTCAATTTCTTTTCTTTTTATATTTTCCATTTTCATTTTAGTTAAGGTTTTAGTCATTTGGTTGTTTATGATAATTGTATTAGTTTTATTCCATTTTATTTCAGTTTTAATTTTAGTACCTCATGCTAAACTAACTAAAAATGATAAATACAATCAGTTTAATGTTTTTTTTATATACAGTATATATATCAGATTTTTTAAGCTGAATTTTTATGCTTTTAGTTTTAGTTGATTATTATAACCCTGTACTGCACATATTAGCAAATCTATCTTTCAGAGGTGTTCCATAAGCACCAAAAATACTATGCATAATATACATAGCCTATGCAATAAACATAGCCAATATTCAACAAGAACAAAATGTAGGGTTGTAATTTATCCAGTGGGGTTTGATTGTATTGTACGTGACATCACCTGAAAACTATAAAGCCATTAAATTAAAACAAGTTATACTTTGATCTGCAAAATCACATTTTTGCTACTTTAGAATAATGTACACCAATGCATTGTTCACAAAAAGATCATCAACGTGAATTAAGAAAGTGACTTTAAGTTCTGTTTAGTCCGTTATGGAAATTCTGGACACATTAGTTTTCATCTGCATATGAAATAGAACTGATTTTGATCATGTAGCTACCTTTAAAAGCCCCCAGCAAAGATTCACACCGAATGAATACTGAAAGAAAAATTCACAAGGGGATCGACTTTATGCAACATTACTGTGGTTGAACCCACAGTGAACGACTAAAAGCGTGTGGTTGCAGTTATGAAGTGAGCTTAAAGTCTCTGGAGTCAGCAACTGACTTCCTCCCGATGAGCTTCACGGCTGCATCTGGTTCTCCGGCTCTGTGTGCACACATGCAACGCTCGTACTCGTGATTTAGATACCGCTTCCTCCACAGGTTGGCAATGAGTCCCTATCTAGAGACTCACCAACCACTGCCTCTGACTTCAAAGTCACAGCGCTCCTGCTCTCTGGCAAAACCATCTGAGTACTGCTGACATGCTGCTGTTTTCATATTTCCAGATTTTTATCAAACTTCCCCTTGAGGAAAACAACCGTTATTGAAATCTAAAGCTTTGAGCGTAAAATTAGTTGTTGGGGGATTTGAAACTAACACCACAAACTGCAACACGCAATAACGTTTAGATAAAGAGCTATGCAGATGTAGTGTATTCATCTCTTGAACAATCATTGCATACTGATTAAAAATCACTTCAGTGCACATATCATTTGACACTTTATGGCTGCAACTGGGTTGTAATTGTTTTAAACTTTGCTGAATTCTATAATTTCATCACATTTATTTTATTTAATTGGCATCTACGCTAATATTAGTCCGTTTTATTCTTATTCCGAGATCACCGTAGCCATACGGATCCAGTGTGTATCCAGTCCAGATGGCAGATCAGCACCTCTACAGCCCTGAATGTCAGCGGAGACCATGTCAACTAGATGCGCCCGAGAGACAGATCCCCTGCGAAGACCTCGTCGGCCATCGGCTCAAGACCACGGGAACCTGATGAATCCTCTGCTCAATCTGACTTGTGTTGCAGCCTGGAATGAAACCACACTGAAAATAAATAACTTGCCCTTTTTTAATTGGATGAATGAAACATTTTTTTCAGTGTACACCATGCTGGTTTCATCTGGTCAGAGGAGAACTGGTCCCCCGACTGAGCCTGGTTTCTCCCAAGGTTTTTTTTCTCCATTTCTGTCACAGATGGAGTTTTGGTTCCTTGCCACTGTCACCTCTGGCTCGCTTGACTGATTGCAGACACTATTGGAAGAGAGCTGAACTGGATGATGACATCACTGAATCATCAATGAACTGACTTTAACTGATAAACTGACTGTTTTCTATTGTCCTCTTGTATTATCAGCACACGTTTTTCCTGTTTGACACTGTAAAGCTGCTTTGACACAATCTGTATTGTATAAAGTGCTATATAAAAAAGGTGACATGATTTGGCTTGTTTAGGACCGTGAAGGGCAATGTATTTTTATTATTAAATAAAAATATTCTTAAATTATTTTGTTTCTAAATATATTATTAATTTATTTTTGCCTCAAAAAGAATTAGAAAAGTTCAACAAGTTATTAAATCATGTGCTATATACATAACAGCTAGCTGTTTTGGTTAAAAGCATCGGTTAACCCATTTAATCCCACCGGTAACATTTGTGGCCAAAATTACCTTTTGCTTTTGAAAGGACAAAAAAAAAGGGTCTCTTTTAAAGATATATTAACTTTTTAAGAAAAGTTACACGGTTTGTTTCATTGGGCTATATGGGTAAAATTCACTTATGCAACACAGTGGGGTAAAAAAAAAAAAAATGCAAATAAAAATGTCTTTTTTTTTTTTACATTTTTAAAAGGTGTCTAAAATGTCACAAGTAGACGCATCCCGCTATTACAGTACAAATACAAACTAATCTATTGCCCTCTAGTGGTTGGACAGTTAGCTGCAGACTTTCAGGACTTTACATTGCTGAAAGCAACAAATATTACTTCCAAGTACTATTAAAATATGCATATTTCTAAACAATATAAGTAACAAAGAACCATGTCAATGAGCAGTCACGCTTGATTGCACACAAACATGCACCAAGTATTGGGTCAGTATAATTTTTTTTACATTAGAAATTAATACTTTTATTCAGCAAGGATGCATAAAATTGATCAAGCGACAGTAAAGACATTTACAATGTTACAAAAAGATTTACATTTCAAATAAATGCTGTTCTTTTGAAGCTTATATTCATCAAAGAAAAAATGTATAGATGAATGAATAAATGACATTTTTAAATATTACATTAAAAAAAGTTCTTTTAAGTTGCAATTTCACAACATTACTGTTTTTATTGTATTTTTTATCAAATAAATGCAGCATTGGCGAGACTTCTTTCAAAAACATACAAAAAATTTAGACTCCAAACTTTGTTTTTTTTTCCACCTGATGAACATAAGCTAATTGTCACATTGGGAAGTCGTGGCCTAATGGTTAGAGCGTCGGACTCGTAACCCAAAGGTTGCGGGTTTGAGTATCGTACAGGCAGGGATTGTAGGTGGGGGGAGTGAATGTACGGCGCTCTCTCCCACCTTCAATACCATGACTGAGGTGCCCTTGAGCAAGGCACCGAACCCCCAACTGCTCCCTGGGCACCGCAGCATAAATGGCTGCCCACTGCTCCGGGTGTGTTCACGGTGTGTGTGTGTTCACTGCTGTGTGTGTGCACTTAGGATGGGTTAAATGCAGAGCACTAATTCCGAGTATGGGTCACCATACTTGGCCACATGTCACTTCACTTTAATTCCAACACTAAAAACAGTAGCCTGAAACTGAGAAAAAAAACTTTTATTTTTGAGATTTAGAAAAGAAAAAAAATGGGTTTTCACAATTATAAGCATGGGTCAAAATTCCAAATCTTGACAAATGAAAACAAAATAAAACAACAAACAGCAAACAAATAATATTCAGATGAAGAACTAACAGATGATCAGTTGGACACACTCTGCAGCAATGTGATGTTATCTCCTTTCAACATAATCCGCCCTATTGGAGAGAAAAAAATGTTTAAAGTCACATCTTATTTTACATCAAACAAAAGTTATTGCTCAGAAACGCATGACTCGCCGGTATTGCAAAGTTCACACTTACCCAGGGGCTTCCTGTTCTTGGTCTTCATGTGAACCTCCTCTGCGTCATCCAAAACCAAATTCATGTACTCATCAAATCCCTTGAAACACAAACAAAGAAATCAAATATAAAGTTCTCTATTCACATGCGTGCATAATATTGTTCACAAAATTATCTGTAAAGATGAAAATGAGCTGTGTGGAAAAAATTAAATGTGAGACTTGCTGTGTTTACTCACAATGATGCAGCCCTCTATCCGCATGTTGACCTGTTCGTAGAGCCATACCTGGATTCGGGAACGCTGCACAGAAAGGGAAAAACTATTAGTAACCGGTCATCAACCGGAGAGAGAGAATGCCTTTTTTTTTCTTTTTTACATTGTGATATTTTTCATGACAATTAGGCACATTTCTCCCCAAAATTCTCAATTTATATTAGTAATATATTTTATTATATTATAAATTATGAAGTATTTATACATTGTAGTATTGATGGTAGGCTGCTATGGATTTATGCTTATTCATTTTATTACAGTAATTTTATCGGCAAAGTAAAAAAAATAATATTAAAAAATCTAAATGGTTTTAAAATCCTTTTGTTTATGCTAAATATAACATCTTTTTTTAATAAAAAAATAAACAAACAAACAAAAAAATTAAGCAAAAGTAACAGAAAACAAAAATGCACGGGGGAAACCTCACATTTCATACAAAATAACTAATACATAATTAATAATGTATGTATGTATGTGTGTGTGCGCATGTTAAATATACTTAAATGTTAAATAAAATTATGAACTTACATTCTGTAGATACCTGAAAATAAGGTTCTGAAAGTAAAATTAAGGAAACAAACAAATATAACAATAACATTATACTGTCATCAAAATATGACTCATGGATAATTTTAAATAGCATTTTTTTCATTCATTTATAAGTAACGTAAACGATTAGCAGCGGGACCAACACAAACCTGATACAAACATCCCAAACATTGATCAAAGATGCTGCTTTTTTTTTTTTTTAAAGTTTGATATAATCATATTAAAAAAAACTTTAATTTCTAATACAATATGTAATAAAATATAACATTATGAATCTTACGAAACCAAAGCATATCAATACAATGGAAGGAACCGATTTAGTTCTGCGTTCTGAAGGATACGATAGGCTGCACCATGACCTTCTGAACCTTCTGTCCTTGTCCTCTGTACGCCATTCTCCCAAATAATATTCAGATATTTTTAGAAAACGGTGATCTATGTAAAATTGAACAAAACAGTTAATGGCGCGGCAACGAAAATCTCACGTTGGTTGTTGGTGTTTCAACGGCGGCGCAATTCCGGAAACAGAATGACGCACATAAAAGGACGTGTTGATTATTTGTAGCGCCGCTTGTGGCCGGGAGACACATTACAGACCAAATGTTTTTTATTGCCCAGAACGTTACATAATAAACGACAGTAAAACAAATTATATAAAACCAATTATATGTGATCGTCCAATAATTATACACGTTTTTTAACCATTTTACATCAGCGTGTGCTGTCGCTAGTTCATTTTAAATGTCTCTGCGGTGTTACATTTGAATTTTTAAAAGTACAAATATTTCATGTTAAGTTTTTATTAATATGTCAAGGCTGATATTGCTCGATTTTTAAGTTAACAATTTATAGTGTAATTAAATTTGACGTACGCATTTTTTGTCGTTTACAGGACGTGGCACACAGATTGTGTGACGTTATACGCATGTTTCTGCTCGGTCAGCGTGTCAATTGTTGTTGTTTTAAAGGCGCTCAGTGGTGAGTGACTTAGCATCGGTCCAACTGCAAACTACCCGTGATTTTTATTAAATAAGACCATATTACCATTCATGTTTAGAGGATGTTTTTATAGTGAAACAACTGTAGAATTTTAAGTTATTTTATTATATATCAGATGAGTTTTTGTAACGTTATCTTTAGCCTGGCTAACCTAGCCTAGCTTAGATTATTGTCAACATTGTCTTTTATATTGCTTAGGTGAGAAAAAAAATAAAATGACAAAGTTTTAAATTTGTAATTATATATTTATATATTGTGTTTATTCTTTTGTTTAGCTGTAGACTTTTGTTTTTGCTCAAGTACTCAGTATAATCTATTACCTGTAAGTGATATTGGAATATATTTGCAATTACTCGATCATATTACTATTTTCTTTCTTTATGTATTTATTACGTATTCATATACTGTATAAATACATGCACAGTTTTCAACTGGCATTCAAAAGAAATTGCCATTGCTTTTTACTGACGATTTATCTATATTTTCACACTGCTGATCATTTTATTGTAGCATATGGCCTTATTTTAAAGCCCAAATGTGACTGCTTCTAACTTAATACAAATTTGGTTCATGCAACTGTTCTGTGTTCAGAACTGAACAGGTACAGGATGCTACGTCTGCATTGTAAAGCCAAGAACGGGACCCATCTGATGCAGGGCCTTACACACCAATCTTGTGTTCAGGAGCTTAAAGATAAGATTGAGGAGCTAACAGGAATACCTTGTGATGTACAGAAGATCATGGTAGGTTATCCACCATCCAGCCTGGATCTACAGAATGGTGAAGCCCACCTAAAAGACTACCCTATAAAATCAGGTTTGATCAGAATCACTACACTTTATTTGCAATGTGTTACAGGAATAGTAGGGTGACCATACGTGCCATTTTCCCAGGATGCGTCCTGGCGAGGATTTGTTTTGGCTTTGTTTTCCTGTTTTCATGCTTGCTGAAGGTAATGATCGAAAAGTAGTTTGACCAATAACATGCAGGCATTGTACATAATGGACCAATCATGGCATGTGAGAAGGTGGGATCTACGGTCAAAGCGATGCAATCAGTGTTTGACATCAAAGTACCTCGAGAGCGTTTCGAAAGCATAACCGTCTGTATGGTACTTTGATGTCAAACACTGATTGCATCGCTTTGACCGTAGATCCCACCTTCTCACATGCCATGATTGGTCCATTATGTACAATGCCTGCATGTTATTGGTCAAACTACTTTTCGATCATTACCTTCAGCAAGCATGAAAACAGGAAAACAAAGCCAAAACCTAGATATTTTAGGCAATATAGAAATCCTGGCCAGGACGCGTCCGGGGAAAATGGCACATATGGTCACCCTAGGAATAGTTCACCCAAGAATGAAAATGTACTCATTCTTAAGCCATCCAACATGTACGTAGATGAGTACGTTTCCTCATTGGAACAGATTTGGAGAATTTAGCATTCCATCACTTGCTCACCAGTGGATCCTCTGCACTGAATGGGTGCCGTCAGAATGAGAGTCAAAACAGCTGATAAAAATATCTCTATAATAATCCAAAGTAATCCACACCACTTAAAGCAATATTATGGATAGAGGACTCGTATTTTAGCCAGAAACAATGGGTTGAAGTTGAAACGTCTTTTCAGCAAATTTTCATTTTTGGGTGAACTATTCCTTTAATTCTGTGTTTATAAAGCCATTCGTGCACTTTTGTTGTTGCTGAGTTTCCTGGCTTCACCATTGATACGTTTACTGTTCCAGGAGACACGCTGATTGTAGAGGAGGAGAAGAACAAACCCAAACCCCAAACACAAACCGCTGTGACCAAAGGGCCCAGTCTTGACCTGTCCCCAGTTCTAGAGCGCCACGTCGTCCCTGCCGACAACTCTTGTCTGTTTACAAGTGTGAACTACGTTATGGAAGGAGGTGTTTACGACCCAGCCTGTGCGCCTGAAATGCGTGGGCTCATTGCACAAATTGTAGTTAGTGACCCCACCGCGTACTCAGAGGCAGTATTGGGCAAGACTAATGAGGACTATTGCACCTGGATCCGTCGCGATGACACGTGGGGAGGCGCCATTGAGGTTTCAATCCTCTCTAAGTTCTACCAGTCTGAGATTTGCATCGTTGACACTCAGACTGTGCGCGTCGACCGCTTCGGCGAGGATGCGGGTTACACCAAACGAGTGCTGCTTATTTATGATGGTATTCATTATGACCCGATCCAGAAGGTGGTGCCAAATTCAGATGTTCCCGCACAGACTGTTTTCTCCACTACCGATGATGTAATTTTGGCCCAAGCGTTGGAGCTCGCGGATGAGGCCCGGAGGAAGCGTCAGTACACGGACGTCAACCGCTTCACTCTGCGCTGCATGGTGTGCCAAACTGGCCTGGTGGGGCAGAAGGAAGCAAGGGAGCATGCCAAGGAGACCGGCCACACCAACTTTGGGGAAGTGTGATGCTCTTCGCTCTTCGCACCTTTGCCGCGTCACTGCCACGCCACCTGACATGGTACCCGCTCTTTCACTGCTGCCTGTTCCAGCTTGGTACAGTCCTCTACCTCACATTGTCTAGCGGCTTCAGAAGACTTTCTCTTGTCGAGTTCCCCAATTATTCAGTATTCTTTTAACTTTGCTTTAACTCTTGAGGTTGAAGTATTAAATATGCTTGTGTTTTTAGTCTGTTAGCCAGAAATGACAACAAAGCCGTATCTTCAAACCAAATTTTAAAGGGATTCTCCACTGACTACCTGTTTGTTATAATGATTACAATACTAGTATTAGGGTGAATTTCGCAAAACACATCCAGGTCACATTTCACTGCAAAATCAAAGAAGAAAATAAAAATAATTGTGTGTAAAATCACAATTCAAATATAATTAATATTATATATTATAGATATTAATTTATAATATATATGTATATATATATAGAGAGAGAGAGAGAGAGAGGATGCCTTTTTTTTGCATTGTGATATTTTTCATGACAATTAGGCACATTTTTCCCCAAAATTTTAATTTAATATTAGTAATATATTATGATATTATAAATTATGAAGTATTTATACATTGCAGTATTGATGGTAGGCTGCTCAGGATGTATGCTTATTAATTTTATTATAGTAATTTTAACTGTAAAAGTAGTTACTGTATTACTTTTAATAATTTAGAGTGAAAATGTTATGAAAATAATATAAATTTAAAAAATCTTAATGCTCTTAAAATCCTTTTGTTTATGCTAAATATAACAACATTTTTTCTTTCAGTTTCGCTGTTAAATGTGACCTAGACATGTTTTCGTGAGATTCACCCATAACCTCATGTAAACACTTTTCTGTTGCCTACAGCTCAAAGATGTGTGAGTAACAACTGTTTAACAATGCTATAGCTAAACCCTTGGTAGTACCTAACAAATATTGAAAGTTTTAATGAGTGATCGCATAAGGCATACTAATTGTTTATTTTTAAAACAAATATATCATAAATGTTAATCTTTTCACACATAAAGTGCTTCTGTGGATGTGGCCAGAGTAGTATTGAAAAAAAAAAACGGTGGAGCACAGCTAAAAACATGCCTTTCATTAACTCTAATTTAATCATGGCATTACTGTATTTATTATATGATCTGTCTTGTTAAGGTCATACGCACAGTTTCTGAACAATCGATGGCACTACATGAACTCTTAAGTTCACTGGCTCCATTGTACCTGTTACTTGAAATAGTAACATAGATCAATGTCGACTCTGAATACTCTACTCAATGCAGTTTTTACACATTTTGAGTAAGCTAGTTAGCAAGAAAGCGTGGATTTTAAGTTGAAGTGGACCACAATGGTGCTGATAGTAGAATCTCACTGAACTATTTTGTGAATCTAGATTTAGTTTTTCTTTGAAGGGCACTTGTGTAATTTCTGCAAATGACCACGCAAGATTGTTTTATGCAAAATGTGTTTATTCTCTCTCAAGTGACCATGACATATTGTTAGGAAGAGTGATTGTAGTGACTTTCATTTGACATTTTAAGTGATGAAATGTGTCATACTGAACTTTTTCCTGCATACAGGGCCGATATCTGAGGTTTAGTGTAGCAAAGTATCATATTATTAGAGTGTGGATGAACTTTAGAGAGAAAACATCTTGTAAGGCCTGATGATGATGTACATTCTCAGTATTTTTCAGTCAGGTAATATCCACACTGTTGTTTACTTGTTTGCAGCCTTTTTATTTTGAAGAAATGGTGCCATTGTAAGTCCAAAGGACGTTTTTTTTAATTTTGCAGTGATTTTTCTAAATGGCCGTGATCAGTGTTTTATCTACACTAAGGTAACTTTGAGTGAGAAACTGCATGTACAGCACTCATTGCCAGTGTTGGGGGTAACTCATTACAAGTAATGCGAGTTACGTAATCAGATTACTTTTTTCAAGTAACTAGTAAAGTAACGCATTACTTTTTTAATTTACAAGAAAATATCTGAGTTACTTTCCGTACCCACTGTATATATATATATATATATATATATATATATATATAAATATCCTTGTGTGATTTATTTATTATTTATTT